GTCGATTAATTTATTTGTAATTATTAGAAATTTATGTCCGGATTAAAAAATATTGGAAAACCAATTCCAATCCAAAAATAACACTCTGTATACTAGATTTTATCTAGTACATTTAAAGATTAAGATTTCCTCCTCAGTCCTAATCCCTTTTGGGATGTGATGACACCACTAGACCATTACAGTTTTTTTTAGGATTTTCCTCCATGCTTCCCTGTCCTGGGTTAGTTGTTCGACTTCATGTAACCATTGGTTAATCAATATTTTTGTTTGATCTAACCAATGGCTTGGAGATCTTCCCCTAGGTCTTTTTCTCTCAACTCTACACTCTATCCTTTACTTTAAGTTGTTCTAATACCGATACGTTAGTGTGATGATCTATCCAGGATATTCTTAACGTGCAGAGGTAGATATACTCACATTTCAAAAGCTTCTAGTTTATTTTTATCAGCTTTTTTTAAGATCCACTTTTTGAATGCATATGTGGCTGGGAAAAATGAGTGCCCTTAACAGCCTTAGTTTTGTGTGTATTGGTATGCTAAAATATTTCCAAATTGTTACCAGTTTCATCATAGCTGCTCTAGCAATAGTCAACCTTCTACGTATCTCTCTGTCGCACCCTCCGTGATTTGTTATTAGGGACCTCAGGTGTATGAAACTATTTACAACTTCAAAGCCACCAATTTCTTTAATGTGTTGAAGATTGTTACGAGCTCTGTCTACTACCATGATCTTTGTCTTACTCCTATTTAGCTTTAGTCCATATGTTTTGCTTTTCTCCTCCAGACATATCATTATGTCTTCCATTTCTTCTTGATTTGCCTCGATTATTAAAGTGTCATGAGAATATCAAATTTTTAACCTACTACTGATATTCCACCCTTCCATCCATCTAGTACCTTTCGCATAATGTGTTCGCTGTAGATATTAAACAGAGTTGGCGAGATTATGCTTTCCTGCCTGAGACCTGCCTCTGTTCTGAAATGATCGAAATGGGTGTTTATTGTTAATGGGAGTTTTTATTTTTATTGTGCAGTTATTAGTTTTTTATATAGACTTCTAATTAGTTGAATTAAGTGGTGGGGTGTTCCCATTTAGGTTAGTATGGAACATAGCTGCTGCCATTTGACTTTATCGAACTTCCAGATTTAGTTTTTCATAATTTTTTTTGTATTATTTATTACCTTCCATAGCAACTTTTTCTATAATTATGAAAATAATAGCCTGAATTAGCTGGTGAATATATCTGAACTTGCTTTCTGCCAATGGCACCCAAACAGTAAGGAAAATTCCATTTTGCCTCGAAATTATTTGTAATACGCTTCGGTACTCTCACCGTCAAGTGCAGAAAGTGAAGACTTACAAATATCTGAACGTACTGTCCTATCAGCAGATACTTCCATTTATAGTAAAACTCCATCTGGATGAGGAAAACGTGGGCGAAAATCAGATCCTAGGGTTGATCTTTTGATTACAATGAATGAGAAGTTAACCGGTCAAAAGTAGATGGGTATGTTACTATGAAATTAAGGGTTCTTCAAGCAGATCAAAGGATTATGGCTGAAAAATTAATTATTAACGTTTTATTTGAAACAGAATGCAACCATTTAAACAAGCAATAGATATTATAACGACTTTTAAGTACTGCCAGTTTACCTACCATTTCCCACAGAACATTCAACGATAAACGCACAGTTACTGCTGGTTTAGTTGTCATGTAGTTTTATCATTAGATGTCAAATTATAAAAGCACAGCTAACAGTTTAAAAAATAAATATTTTTATATTTTTTCTAATAAAATCTACGTTGTTTTGTTTACAAACCTACTTTAAAAACATTTTGTATTTTAACTTCATTTTATTTCCAAAGTTATCTTGTCAGGTATACGTTGAAACTTGCTCTGTATCGTAAATTAAATAGGCCAGCCGGTTATTTATTCACCGGACTATGTAATACGCCCACGGTTTTTAAAAGCTTCATATTTTATGCAATTTCCACATATCTCGTTATTATCATAAACAGTAGAACGATGACGTTGTTTTGCATTCTGTTTTTGTTTGTGTAATGCAAATGTTAATCAAATTGTAGAGCAGTGCAGTACACTGTTGCCAACTATAGACAGGTTTTTTATGTCATAGATAAAAGATAGTTTGTTATAATTAGAGTTTAACAAAACTAGAAATGTCAGCACAGATAATTACACCCATTATCGATATTTAATTACACAAAATATAACAAAATTTCTGAATAAAAATTTAGGATAAATAAAAATCTTAGCTAAAATCATCGACTATTCATAATTATCAGTAGCTCGACAACCCTTTCTGGGTCATGGCTTGTTCTAGGATTTTCCGCCATTTTGTTCTGTTCTTTGCTTCAATTTTCCAGTTGGTAATCTTAAGTTCAGATCTTGTTCCACTGGTTCCATGTAGCTAAGTTTGGGTCTCCCCTTTGACTTTCTTTCCATTGGTGTTTGCCTTATTATATCTTTTGGTGTTTCAGTTTCCAACATTCGTTCAACATGGCCCATCCAGCGCAGACGTCCGATCTTTATGGATATTATGACCTCGGGTTCATTGTATGCTGTGTATAGCTCAAAATTATATCTTCTGCGCCATATGTCATTTTTTTTCACCCCCTTATATATGTGTCTAAGGATTTTTCATTCAAACGTACCTAATAAGCTCTTATCACTTTTCTACAGTATTCATATCTCTGATCCATATACAAGGAACGATTTTGTCAGGGTTATATATATTTTGCATTTGGTTTTTATGATGATGTTAGATCTTAGATGTTTAATTAATCCAGTATATGTTTTAATACCGATATGGATTCTTCTCTTAACACCTTCACTGAAATTGTTATCTGCGGTAAGGAGTGAACATAGATATGTAAAATTTTTCATGCTTTCGATGTTATAATCTCCTACTGTCAGATTCTGTAGGTTTCTTTGGCCTGTCGATTTGCTGGCCTTCATGTATTTGGTTTTTATTTCATTAATATTTAGGCCACTGTTTTATGACGCTTTTTCTATTGCAATAAATGCTTCTATCATTTCTCTTTCGCTTCTAGCTATGATATCAACATCATCTGCAAATGCCAATATTTGTACACTTTTTGTTATTATTGTTCCTCTGGTGTTGACTTTTGACTCTCTAATTATTTTCTGTAATGTGATGTTGAATAGATTACAGGATAGGGCATCTCACTGTCGTAGACTCGTTCTCACATATATTTGTTAGTGCGTTTTGAATTCGAATTTTGCTTTGTATTTTAAGTGTTTCTTTTACAATATCAATGAGTTGAGTTGGAATATTAAACTCTTTCAGTGCATGGATCAGAAATTCTCGATGGATGTTATCATAGGCACCCTCAAAATCAATGAAAAGATGATATGTGTCTATATTAAATTCACTAGTCTTTTCCAAGTTTTTCCTTAAGACGAAGATCTGATCTATTGTGGATTTTTGCCTGCAGAAACCACATTGATATACCCCAACTATTTGTTCTGCATATGGTCTCAACCGGTCATTCACAATATTTGACAGTATTTTATATACCACAGTTAGTAGTGTTATTGCCCGGTAGTTTTTACATTGAAACTGATCTCCCTTTTTATGTAGTGGGATAATTAGTCCGGTATTCCAGTCTTGTTGCAGTTATTTATTATTCCATATGTTCACTATTAATTCGTCTATCGCTTTAGATAGGGAGTCTCCGCCTTCCTTTAATAACTCTGCACTAATGTTGTCTAATCCAGGTGACTTATTGTTTTTTAGTCTGGTAACTGCTTCTTGCATTTCAACTACTGAGGGGGGAAGGTTTGTTTCTTTGGTATCCACTTGATCTAGTATAATTCAATCATATAGTGGATCATCGTTTTTTTTTCAAACTTTTCTTTGAAGAATTCTGTCCATCTTTGTAGTACTACTATAGATCTCCTTCTGTGTCTCTGCACATCATTGTTCTTGAAGTTCTTTTTCTATCTGTTCTCTTTTTTTTCTTACTGCTTAGCATTTTATATTTCTCCTCTGCCTTTCGTGTTCTATGTAGTTGTTGTAGTCGTTGATATGCAACATTGTTCCTCCCTGTTATTTTACGACACTATTCATCGAACCACTGTCCTTCAGTTGATTTGAGTTTTTTTGTAGTTTTTCTTGTAGACCCAGGGTCTCTTTGGCCGCGTCTTGTATGATGTTTTTACACGCTTCCCATTCTCTGTTTATATCCTCGTGCTTTTGTGTGTTTTCCAGTCTTCCTTTTATATATTCTTTGTATTTTGCCTTTTTGCTGTTTTCTGCTATGTTTTTTATTTCATATTTTTCAATTTTGGATCCCTTTTCATTTTTAATGTTTGAGATTCTGGCTCTTATTCTACTTTCCAATAGGTAGTGATTCGAGTCTGCATTTGCTTCTCGTCTGCTGCATACGTTTATTACGTCTGAGTGATGTCTAGAGTCAATAATATTAAAATCGATCATGTTTACTGTAACCCCATCTGAAGATATACACTTTCTCTTATAAATATTTTTTCGCTAGAAGCATGTGCTGACAAAGATCATGTTAACGTAAGTTGCTAGATTTATTAGTCTGAAGCCATTGCCATTGGATGGATATAATAATCGACTATTAGTTGTTTTATTTGGTTTGAAAAAACTTTAAAAAACTAGATACTCTAAAAATATGTTTAATATTATATAAAAAATATAACCTGCAACATTAGTTTACGACTGCATTTGACACAGCTTTGACTGTAGTATGAATATACTTTTTGCTTACAATTTACAAAATTTCTTATTTTATACCTACATGATTATTTTTGCTATGGCTAATTTAAGTCAAATTGATTGTTCTTATTATATTATTAGATCCAATTATCTTGACCATAATAAATAATAAATATTTTTTTTTATTTCAGGTTGGCCACCGCGGAAGAGGCTTTGTCGGCTCAGGCGGTGCAGTGGCAGAAGGCGGGGGCCGCCAGAGGAACAGGTGATAGAATGGGAGGTGCCAGCGCAGCTGGATCTGGACAGGGGCCCTCCTCACTTTTTCTTTTTTCAGAGGAAAACCCCATTCGCAGATATACGCGCTTCATCATCGAGTGGCCATATCCTTTACATACTTTATTATAGAAACATATATTTTTTTACCAAATTATATAAATAATGTGATATATGTACACTTTATTACATATTAGAGTACGTTGAAATTATTAAAACAATTTAATATTATTTTTTCTATAAAGGTTTCATAATTATTTTCAAAATATTATGTGTATATTCGTTAGTTTTTATCATGTTGTAAGATATACAATTTGCAAATATTTTACAACTGTTGATGGAGCTATGATTAATAGGTACTATTACAAGAACTAATGTTAAATTCAACAGTCTTCCGGGTTAAACCGCGTCCATTTACATTGCGCCGAGATTTCGTAATCCTCTTTGATATCTTCTTTAGGACTTCCAAGGTATCAGTCTCCTGATCCCAAGAAACTACTACACTGATCACTACCGAATGCATTACTGCTACTGGGAATTGGAATTGGACCGGCGTTTTTATCTTGCTTAAGATCATATGCCTCTTCAAGGATGTGTCCAATATTGTATGGCTTGAAACTTAAATTTCATGTTGCCGCTCTCTGAGACAGGGAGTGACAGTAGCTATAAGGCCAGAGTGTCAGAAGAATTGTTTCCACCTTGTTGAATGCCGTGTGAACCAAGTCCGCTACTAAGTACAAGTTCAGTGGACGAACGGTCCTTTTCAGATTGTTGGCCTTTTGTTTTGTTTGGTTTGAACGCGTGGAGGATAGGATAGGATTAGGTAACGTTGTGAAATGAGATTGGGAAACCACAGAAAACCAATCTCTCCTATCCTTGTGATTTGAATTCGACGCTTAAGGAGTGTGTTTGGTGGTCATGTTTGGTATTGGCCATGGAAGTGTGTTTGTAGGTTGTTGGAATGTTAGTGTAGTTATTAGTTGTGTGTTATTGGATTTTTCTCTAGCAGTTTCTACTATGAACAGGATGGTTAATTTATAGCGTCGATAGTGACGTTGTTTGGGTGGATGTTGGCGTGGGAGTTAGCGTGATGATTGGCGCGGGGATTGGAGCGGGCGATGGCGTGAACATTTCTGACATTAGGATTTTGATTGGCGTATGAAGCGGATGACATTTTCTTTATGAGTAGTGTCCATGTTGAAGGTAACCTTTAAAAGCAGATTGGGGCTATGGTTCTGGAGTTTTCAAAATCAGAAACAGAATGGAATGTTCACAAATCCTGTTTTGGATTCTAAGATTTGTTTGGCCTATATAGGATCGGGGGCAGTCTGCACAAGGAATTTCATAAACTCCGTGTTGTTCATTTGGAATGTCTTTGATTGATCGGACAAGAGATGGAAGCTTTTATTGGGAGGTACATATTGCCTTTATTGCTTTTGATTAAAGCATTTTGTCGATTTTATCAGTAACACTTTTGGTAAAAGGAAGAAAAGCTTTCATATGATGAGGGTCTGAGTCTTTGGGTTGAGATTGAGTGGAAGATTGATGTCTGTTGTGAACTATAGAGCTCAGCGGGTCTACTTATATAACTGCAAGGGCGTATTGATCTATCGACAAGGGTATTAATGACTAAATTAATTTGTAAAGGTGGATGATGAGAGTTGGTATGCAAGTAATGATTGGTATGGGTGGGTTTTAGATAAAAAGAGTGATGAAAACCTTGGGATTGGTAATTTATGAAATTGAGAAACGGTAGGGATGAGTCAGAGTGCCGCTGATCCTATGTAGGCCAAACAAATCGTAGAATTCAAAATAGAATTTATGAACATTCTATTTCTGTTCAGATTCAATTTGAGCTCTAGGCACCTAATTAACTCTAAACACCGTCTTCATATAGGTCACAAAATGTATTTTGAAAACTCCAGAACAGGAAAAAGGCCAAATTGTCTCAATAAAAGAAATGACGGCATAGGGTTACCTTCGACATGGAGACCTTTTATAAAGAAAATATCATCCGCTTCATCCGCCGATCAAACTCCTACTGTCAGAAATATTTGCGCCAACCCCTGCGCCAGTCCCAGTGTCAATTCCTGCCTTAATCCCCACGCTCACCCCACGCCAACCTCCACCCAAAACCGTCACCATTAACGGTATAAATGAACCGGTCTCTGTTCTCATTAGCAGTAATGCATTGGTTAGTGATCAGTGTAGTAGTACCTGGGGACTAGGGGGACTGATACCTTGGAAGCCCTGAAGAAGACATTAAAGAGGATGTGATGAGGGTGAAAGCGGGCACAATGAAAATCAATGCGGTTTAATCCAGAAGCCTGTTGAGTTTGTACAAATATATAGGTATAATATTGCTTTTGATATGTAGTTCGTATTTAATTTTTGTGGTCTTTTCATTATTTTATCCTCTCGTGGGATCTGTTTTCCAATGCTTTGATGTTCCGGGTCGCTATTTTCATATTGCTAGTTTTTTGATTTTTTTTCCTAATTTTTTTTTGGCTTGTATTCTTAGCCTAATCTCCATCCTAACACTATAACTAAACTCCGATTTTACTCCGGGGTGATTTGCTGGTTCTATGCGCAAATTTTTTATCTGGCCCTTCCAAGAGTACTTCTCTTTTATACTGGCTTGCGATTTTTAATCTCCATTTATTTATCTTTTTGTCAACGCCTTCTATCTAGCTTTTCCGTAGTCTTACTAGTTTTCTGTTTAATTTTGAATTCCATTATTATTTTTAAGAGTCTGTGATTAGGTATTGTTTGTATAAGCCCATACCATATTTATTGTTGGGTTCATATTTCGTCTGTGGTGTCATGTTTTCATCATCATCACCCAGCCCTTTGCTTCCACTGCTGGACATAGGCCTCCCTTATTTTTGTCCATTCTGCTCTGTCTTGAGCACTTTTCATCCAATTTTTTGACATGTTCTTGAGATCATCAGTCCATCGTGTTGGGGGTCTTCCTCTACTTCTTTTGTCTAATCTCGGCCTCCACTCAAGCAATCTCTTCGTCCACCTTTCATCACTGATTCGGGCGACGTGTCCGGCCTAGTTCCATTTTAGTGTGGCAATTCTGGCAGTCTGGTATGTCCTATTCGGATGCGATGTACTACAACCTGGTCCATTCGCTTTACTAAAATTGGTGTTTTCGCTGATAGACCTAGGTTTGCTTGCCGCAATTTATTATTTGATAAGAGTTGCCATCAAGTTTTTTGTGTACTCATTGATGCATTATTTTATATCTGAGTGAGAAATTTGGCTAGTTCTATCATTGGATCTCTTCATTTAACAAGCTTCTTTGGACATTTGATCAGCTATCTCATTTTCTGGTATCGCTACAAGAGATGGTATTCACACAATATGTAGTTGTTTATGATTATTTTGTAGAGTTACAAGGTCTTTTTTAATCTGTTCTAAAATCGGATGATTCGGATATATTTTCTGAATTCCCTGGATTACACTTAAAGAGTCTGTGAATATTACTGTCATGTCTTTAGGTCGATTAAGAGTTTGTTGTACTACCTTGGATATCGCAAAAGTTCAGCAGAATATATTGAGTAGTCCTTAGGTAGTGGAAACTTGAGCACATAATCCTCTGTGACAATGGCGGATCCTACTGTTTCCAATTCGAGTGTTTTTAATGCATCGGTATAAACTAGTTAACATGATGAATATTTATTTTTAATATTGTAGAAGTATTGGAGAAAAAGAGATAAAGGGTTATAAGTATAAGTTGACAGATCTGTGTTACAATATGGAATTTGTATAGTCCAAAGGGGAGCATAATCAATATTGGTATGCATAATACCCGAAAATGTTAAGTTGCTAATTCTTGTGCTAAATGATGGTCGAAAATTAGGATTTTGATTGTAATTAGAAGGGTAATCTGTGGAGAAATCACAGGGGTAGGATTTCTTTCATTTTTTTTATATTGTTTTTCAGTACTGCTGTTCCAAACAGTTTTTAAAATGGTACGGTTTCTTTCATTTCTTTCATATTATTTTTCAGTATTGCTACTCTAAACAGTTTTTAAAATGTTAGTAAGTAGAAGTGAATTTGATCTAACATTCGGTATAATAAGCATTGTAACATGAAGGTTTTTTTATATATAGGAACATTAAAATAATTATAAAAAAATATTTGTTATGGATTTTATGATGTTGTTGCCCGTGATAGGATATGATATTAAAAGTATAATAACAAGTTTAACTGATTCATTAACAAGTAGTATAGATCGTTTACTTGAATTGTATATTAACATGCTAGTTTGATAGGATATTCTTGGTTGATTATACGTAATTAAGGGAATGAATACGGTAATCCTCGGTCACAAATTTGTCTCTAATAAAGCTGTTCTTGGTATGCGAAACAATGGAAATTAAAGTAAATTAATAAAGAAAGTTTAACTTATACTTTAAAATAAATAAAAATTTTATTTTAAAAATGGGTTCCGATCGGCAAATAACAAATAAACAATTTATTTTGCAACTGTTGTTTTCTATTTCAGAAATTATATTTAAACAAAAAATTGAATGTATTTTCATAGAAAATAAAAAATTATATTTATTACATACACACATTAGTCTTTTCCTTAATAATATGTTTAATCCTTTTGAATATGCTGTGCTTTTGACAATCATAGCTAACTGTGTTGTATTAGCATTGGAGGAGCATCTGCCCTTTCACGACAAAACCATGTTGGCGCAAAAACTTGTAAGTATAAATTTATTCTTATATTCACACAATCCATTACATTATTGTACACATTTGTTACTTCAATCGTTATATTGCGCAAAAACAATACACAGAAATAAATGAAAAGAAAACAAGAGCACTTGTTAAAGAACACTCCCAGGTATACAAATTCGTTCAATGCTTCAATGATGTCGTTTTCTATAACAAATGGCCGTAGGATTTGTGGTTGCGTGCTTATTTTTATATACATTGTTTTGTTGGTGTTTATTATTAAACCCACTTTTTAACCAAGTTACAGTGCTTGGTACTTCTCTGATTATTTTAATATACAATGGAATTAAAGCAATTTCGTGTTTTCACTTGTCACTGTTATTTGATGGAAAAAATACCGTCCAAACTAAGCATTGTCTCTGCTCTGTCAATTAAGCCATTAGATTTTGATTTGCTAAATTAAAACACAGTCGTAGCGATGATTCTGAGCGCTCTCTAAGGTCAAATGAGGCAGTTATTCCCTAATAAATCCAAAAACCCTGAAAATTATTATCTAGAATGGCAAAGTAAAGTTGCAACAGATACCTGACACTCTAAAGGTATCGAAGGCTAGCCTTTACCACCATTGTACACCAACATTTGGGTATGAGAAAGCTATTTTCCAAATGGGTGCCGCATTTTCTCACACCAGACCAAAAATAACAATAAATTGATGAATCTAGGTGCTTTTTCATGTTGAATCGGAATAAGTCGACGATTCAGTACTTCATTCCGGAATCAAATCGGTAGTTATTTGTGTGAACAGCATCCGTAGACACTTGTCCAAAGTGACCAAGGACGTAACAAACTGCTGGAAAGATTACATTTCTCCTATTTTGGGACATGCAAGGAATTATTTTCATTAACTATCTGAAACATGGAGAAAAAATCAACAGCGATTACTACATTGGTTAAGCCAGTCAATGTACGGTTTTTTTACTGGATTACAAAAAAATGAAACTGTACGACTGTAATATTCAACTTTTTACTGGTGATGTAAAAAAAGAAAAAAGGATGCCACAATAACAAAATTTATTTTATTTGGCTTAAAATTGATACAAAATCGGGATATTAATATTACTTTATATATATTAAATTTTTGCAAACTCAGACTATTTCTGGCGTAAAAAATTACTTTGATCCTTATCAATTTTGCAACATGGCCGTCAACGCATATGGTACAGAAACCTATACACTCTCTAATAGTGGGGAAAGATTATTAGCCACATGTGACAAAATCTTGCGACACATTATACAAAAACAGAAAATAAAATGATATTTAGCGAAGAAGATACAACAACTTTGAACTATATAAAATTTACCAGGATCCGGATATGGTAACATTTATTAAAAAATAAAAGGTCTGCAAACAAAAATAAAACAAGCAAATAAGTGACAGTAGAAAAAAGAACAAAAGGAAAAACGAATCTGAGGTACATAGAACAATCAAAAAATGATGACACCCCAGCGTGGTGTTAAGCCGCGAATACTTTCTAGATCCTATTTCTTGGGTGGATCAGTGCCTTTTATTTATGTTATCTTCTTGCCGATATCTCTCCATTTTTTCCTATCTCTAGTATTTATCCTCCATTCTCTGACTTCTGCCCCCTGGAGGTCGTCTTAAACTGTTTGTAGCCACTTTGATTTTGGTCTTCCCCTTCTCTTTCTTCCTCCTGGATTCCATTCTATCATTGCATATATCAGTGCTTCATCTCCTGATAGCCAAATGTGAGTTAACCATCTAACTCTGCATTGCTTTATTTTAGTCATGATATCTTCCCTAAGTTCTTTCTTAATTTCTGCATTTACTCTGCTTCCATATTCATTTTGCTCTGTTCTGATTGGTATTAGTCTGATTCTCATAATCTTTCTCTCCGCTTTTATTAAATCCTCTTCATATTTTTTGACCATCGTCATTGTATATAATAATATTGCCCTAATTATGGTATTATAAATGTTCATCTTAGTTTTCTTAGTCAGTGTTTTGCTTTTAAGTAATCTTTTGTTTGCAAAATAAGCTTTATTCTCTGCTAGTATTTTTCTTTTATTTCGGACTTCTTTTATCCGGTTTTGCGTATTGTAACTATTAGGCATTTAAAGTATTCTACTTTTTCAAACTTAGAACTTCCTATTTTGATTTTTTCTTTCTTTAGCTTTTCCCCTAATCTTAATATTTTTATCTTTTCTTGATTTAATCTTAGTCTCGTTACCTCCCCTTCTCTTTTATTTCTTCTAGCACTTTTTCATTATTTTCCAGTTCTTTGAAATAATAGTAATATCGTCTGCATATGCGATTATTTGACCACTTCTTGTTCTTAGATTTCCTTTATTTATATTTTTCTAAGGCTAGATTAAATAGCGTTGTTGCTAAGGCATCTCCTTGTTTCATCCCTTTATTTATACTGAATTCCTCTGCCTCTGCTCATAGCACATGTAGTTTTTATTGTCATTGATCAAATAGCTGTTTGAAGTCTATGAATAACATTTTTAATTCTAATGTACAACTAAATGACTTAATGAGATTAAATGACATCCAAAAAGGGTTAGCCAGTTATGATGACACATGAAAGAGTACAGTTAGCATCATTATAATCGTAGAAAGAAGACAATAACCAAATAAACTAAGTTAATTACCATTCTTGTATTAAGAACTTAAATAATGTTAATATTGGTTAAAAATAGACTTTGTCACTATTTTTGAACCGTAGCAAGATATAAGACTGGTAAACATTTGTGTATGATTAGTAAATGCAGTTTGTTAGATATTTATTTTGTTGTAGTACCCATGATACTATGACTATAAGATAAGATATTGCGCATGTTTTTGTGACGTCATTGGAGACTTGCACGTTCGAAATATCAGTTTTTGTATATATCAATAAATAATCTTTAATAAATAGTTTGGAGATATCCTTATGTGTACGATTATTGTAATTATTAAACCTCTTAACTTATTTTCGTCTAGTAATTTCATCACAGAATGCACACAAATCTCATTTAACTTTAACAAGAATTCAAATTCTAGTCTCCAATGACGGCATGCGCGAACCCGACCGATTTTGAGCTACGGGAAGACCCTATCTTGTTATTCATAGTATCATGGTAGTACCCTAGATATAATAGTTAATAAGACTTTTGATAATACCCAAAATTATTTTATCTGATAATCAACTTTTATTTTTCAGGAAAAAACAGAAAATTATTTTCTCGGTATCTTTTGTGTTGAAGCTTCTTTAAAAATTCTGGCTCTCGGGTTTGTGCTTCACAGGGGTTCCTATCTAAGGAACGTCTGGAACATCATGGATTTCTTTGTCGTCTTGACCGGGTGAGTAATCGCTTTCTCTTTTAACTTTTACATATTCTTAATATCCATACGCTAAGAAAAAAAACTTTACAGGACGATAAACCAAAATACGAGTACTTCTTCAACGCTTTTGGAAAATATTATTAATTATAAAGAGAATTTAGAGTCTATATTGAAAGAAATTAAGAAGATAACAATGTAATACCTTATCGTGCATGCAACTTAACTAAAAATAAGAAATTATTTCATTTTTAATACTAACAAGATTATTCATTTTGAAAACCTGACCGAAGGTGGTCTATTTCTCAAGCATTTTAAAAGATAGGAATCAGGTTTTGTAATAATAAATTTATTTGAAGCTTTGGTCACATTTTTTTGATTGCCCCAACTACATTGACTAATAGTCAAGATCTAATTATACAATATTACTCCACCCAATAATAAAAAAATCTATTTTCTTTTATAAAATTGCAGCAAATTCATTATATTTTTAATCCTTATGTTCCTAACCCGGTACCCTGGTACCCATTGACGTACATTTTTTTCTATCTACATATTTTAATAATTCACTTATTACCTTTCATCAAATCCCCATGATTTGACTAATTCTCCATAGATGTATAAACTCACAGATTTATGTTATTTATTAGAATCAAGAAAATTTTCATTTTCAAAATATTGACATGTTTAGGCCAATAGGATACCTACCCGGGTACCTGCCTACGAAAATCACAAATTTTGTGCAAAAAGGGAGTAACAACTATAAGTAAAAAATATTTATTTTAATGATTTATTTACTAATTATAAAATTAATGACTACATTCTATACATTTCGTTATTTTTGCGTTATGCTCATTAAATACTGGCTTTTGATGTTTATTACAGCACTTTCTGGTCTTCCTTCGTTAGCAAATAGGTGACTTGTGATAAATGTAGCAGGATCCAACAGGTTTCCTGCCAGTGTTGTCTCATGTATGTTTATCAGTAGTTGATTGAACTGCAATTGTATTATCGTAATAAGTTTCAATCGCTAGTTTTGTCGAATGGTGTCGCTTTATCTTCTAATTTAAAGCTCGTTCTTCAATAATGACATAGCCAATTCTTAAGCAAGCTGACGCAAAAAGTCTCGCTTTTTTGTGCCAGCTTGCTGAAGAACAACAAAATCATTTTTGGCTTTCTAGTACACTATGCTGAGCAAAATCACATTTTTGTTTTTCTTCGGTACATTTGAACGTATCATAACTTTTTTATGAAAGCAAAAAAGGACCAAGGATATTGATTTTTCACGAAATTAGAGCTTTAGCTATATAAGCAAAGTCTTGAAAAATCAATCCATATTTATGTTTCGATCAGATCCTTTGAAAACGACTGCATCCTTTGGCAACTCTCCTTAATTGACATCTCGAATAGTATCTATCTTGCCTGTATAAATAATAGCTTTAAGCGGAAAACCATTTTCTGCATCACATACCCACCACACATAAAACTACTTTTTATCATTATAATCAGCGTGTTTAAAGTCCAGTTCCGGACATAGGTCTCCTCTGTTTATATCCAAAGCGCACAACTTTAACAGATCATCTTATTATCATCTAGATGGTCTTCCTCTATTTCGTTCATCTGTTTTTGGTCTACATTCAGTTAACTTGCGTGTACACTTTTCATATTTAATCCTTGACACGTAACTCGCTCGTCTCCAATTCAATCTGCAAGTTCCTTCCACAACATCTGTAACTTTGATTCTGCTTTGTAATTCTTCGTTTGTGATCTTTTTTGTTACTACTCCTATCATTTAACGCTCCATCCTTCTTTGTGTCATTTTTAGTTTTGGGGCATTGGTTTTTATTGAGGATATTGTTCCGGCATCGTAGGTGATTACTGGCAGAACAAACTGATACGTCTTTAAATACGTTTTTAAGAGCTCCATATGCTGCTCATCTATGTGCTATTTCTCTTGATAACTTACCTGTTTATTTATCCTTGTCTCTTCTAATTTTGTGTCCAAGATATATGTATCTATCAACAAGTTTATCTTCATCTTCTGTTCTTCTTCAAGTGCCATCTCCGCGACGGAGGTCGGCAATCATCATAGTTATTCGGACTTTTGAGACGGCTGCTCCGTACCACTCTCGCAGGTTGCGCAGCCATGACATTCTACGCCTCCCTATGCTTCTTTTTCCTTGGATCTTTCGCTGCATAATCAGTTGGAGCAAGGTGTATTTCTCTTCACGTGCAATATGTCCGAAATATTCCAATTTTCTTGTTTTAATTGTATTTAAAATTTCTATTGCTTTATTCATCCTTTTCAGAAGCTCTTTGTTTGTGACGTGTTCTGTCCACGATATTTTCAGAATTCTTCTATACACCCACAGCTCGAATGATTCCAGTTCTTTCATTGATGTCGCATTCAATATCCAAGATTCCATTCCATAAAACAAAGTCGAAAAAACATAGCACCTCGCCAACCTAACTCTAATTTTTAATCTCTTGTATATAGCACTCTTCTCATTTTGTTATAATTTGCTCTAGCCTTTTCTATTTTAATTTTGATTTCCTGAACGTAATCGTTTGTGGAGTACTCTTTTCCATACTCCCCTATTCTGGTCACCAGACGCTGAAGATCTTCATTATTTTTGGCTAAGATCACAGTTTCGTCCGTATATCTAATGTTGTTAATTAGAACTCCATTTACCTTTATTCCAGCGGTTTCACCCTTAAGAGCTTTTTTCAGGATCTCTACGGAGTAGGCATTAAAAAGGATTGGCGACAATACACATCTTTGTCTCACTCCACGTATTTTTAATTTCTTTTGACAGCTGTTCGTTAACATATACTTTTGCTTGCTGCTTATAGTATAAATTTGATATGATCCCGAGGTCTTTGTAAAAATCTTCTTTGATTTTAGGACACTCATTAATTGTTCATGCCGTACTTTATCGTATGCTTTCTTCTTCTTCAAGTGCCGTCTTCGTTCCGAAGTTTGGCTATCATCAAAGCTATGCGTATTTTTGATGCTGCAGATCTAAACAGTTTGGTAATTGGTGCAATTGTACCATTCTCTCAAGTTTTTCAACCATGAATGCCTTCTTCTTCCTATAGATCTCTTTCCCATTATCTTTCCCTGTATAATCAATTGCAGCAACTGGTATTTATCTCCCCTCATAACATGTCCCAAATATTGTAGTTTGCGCTTTTTAACAGTAAGTATCAGCTCTTTCTCTTTCCGCACTCTCCGCAAAACCTCCACATTTGTTACTTTCTCTGTCCAGGGTATTCTTAATATTCTACGATACATCCACAACTCAAATGCTTCTATCTTTTTGGCATCGATCTTTTTTAATGTCCATGTTTCCATCCCGTAGAGGAGAACTGACATAACGTAACATCTCAAAAGGCGAATTTTAAGTTTTAGACTTAGATCTCTTCCGCAGAACACCTTTTCAATTTAGTAAATGTGGCTCTAGCTTTCTCTATTCTGGTTCTGATTTCTTCAGAGCAATCATTATTTTCGTTGATAACAGTTCCCAGGTGATTATATCTTCTTACACGTTCGATTCTTTGATCATGCACGGTTATGTCAGGGAAGTTTTGTGGTGATTTAGATATTAGCATTATTTTTGTTTTGCTTATGTTGGGTGATAATCCGTGTTCTTCACTGCATTCTACTATTTTGTTAATTAGTATTTGAAGATCTTCCCAAGTTTCTGCGATTAGTACCGTGTCATCGACATATCTCAAGTTGTTTATTCGGATGCCATTTATCTTAATACCTATATTTTGATCCGAAAGTGCTGTGTTTATAATGTCTTCGGAGTATAGATTAAATAAGGTCGGTGAGAGTATACAACCCTGTCTTACGCCTTTCTTGATCTCGATTTCCTCCGTTGTCTCTTGCTCTATTCGGATATTTGCTTTCTGTTATAGTAAATCTTAGAGATAATTCTAATGTCCCTTTTATCCAAGTTTTTTTCTACTAGCAGTTTCATTAAGTGATCGTGACGAACTTTATCAAACGCTTTGTTGTAATCAATAAAGCACATATTATATATATATATATATATATATTTTGGTTTATATCTAGACATCTTTGGCATATGACGTTAAGTGCAAATAGTGCTTCTCGTGTTCCAAGCCCGTTCCGAAATCCGAATTGAGTATTACTAATATCTGCATCTAGTTTTCTGTTAATTCTTGAGTGGATTACTTTGATGAATACTTTTAATGTATGCCCCATTGAGCTTATAGTGCGGTGGTCAGTGCACTGTTTTGCATTTGCCTTTTTTGGTAAGGTTACAAAAGTTGAAAGTAGCCATTCCTTTGGTATTTCTCCTCTTTTGTAGATGCAGTTAAAAAGGTCGAGTAGAATATTCACTGATTCGCCTTCCACAAGCTAAAGAAGTTCTGATGTGAGCCCGTCTGGACCCGGTGATTTACCATTTTTCATTATTTTTATAGCGTATAATAGTTCTTCTTTAGTTATTTCTGGTCCTTCGTCGCCTTGCAAGTTATCTATATTAGGTTCTTGTCTTTCATCGTCGAACAATTCTTCTACATAGTTCTTCCAGGTCCTAAGCTTTTCTTGTAGATCGGCTATTATTTCACCATTTGCGTTGCGTAGGAGATTGGATGTTTTCGTTTTTGTGTACCTGTCAGTTCCTTTATCTTTTTATGTAAGTTAAAAGTGTCATGTTTGAGATGTAGTTCTTCGATTTCCTCGCATTTTCTTGTATAAAAATTTTCCTTTGCAGTTCTTATTTCTTTTCTGATTTGTTTGTTTACTTCATTATATTTTTGGCTGCATTTTCCCTTTAACTGTCTTCGCTCTTCCATGAGACCTAAAATTTTTTTCTGTTATCCATTCTCGTCCTTTTTTCTGTTTCTCTTTGGTAAGCATTTTCTGGGCAGGTTTTATTATGGCGTCTTTTAAATCTTGCCACTTGTCTTCTACATGCGTGTTCTCTGTCTTTGTAGAAAGCATTCGTAAGTTATCATTGATATGTTGTTTTAAATCTTCTTTAATT